TTGCGTTTATGAGACTATGCCAGCGGTTTGCAGCACGGTAATATCTTTTGATTTTGTTGATTTTATATAAATGCTTTATTAAATAGTGTGATAGTCGTGGAGCTACCAACACATCCGGTTGGTCATGTATACTCAGTGCAGGAGAGCAGTTTTATGGATGCCAAAGTGTGGTTTGCCAGCTACCGCCCAACAGTACAGCGGCCTGCCAGCCACTAGACGTTGAGATTTTCAACTTTGCTTTTTGCTAATTAATTCGTTTTATCTCCCAATAAAAATGTGCGACGGATTTTCCTGTCGCGAAAACAAAAAAAGAGCTACTATGGAGGATGGGTGGCGGATTTCACCGTCGTTGTCTGTATACTTATATTGGCCCCGTTATTATTATTGTACTTTATCATATTCCCGTTATTATTATGGGACTCGATGTCTTGCAGTACAATTTCGTATTGTATTGTCCGAGGCTACGTAAGTTCATTTGCAGTATATTTTTCAGATAGTTTACTGACACGTTTGCATTCTTTAGATGAATAAACGAGGAGCCCACGCTGTAGCCAAGAGCTTCAATTTAACCATCCGATGCCCGAGCGGCACGACAGCGGCCCACGGTCTCCAATACTTGCATAAGCTCGAGGAAAACGATCGCATTGTTCACGTCCGGTTATCCAAGTTGCTCCTCCCCACGGAAGGTCTACAGCTATGTGGCCACGCTCGGACAGTCACCTCGAAAGCTACGGCCCAGGAATGCGAGGTGAGATTCTTCTTTCAACTCTTTGTCGAACGACAGGAAGGGTTTTCAGCGGCGGAAAAAGACATCAAGTTCATCCAAGAAGACGTGTTAAGCACGTGGGCGATGAAGTTGCGCTCGCATTAGCAGTGGCAACAAGAATTGGTGACGGAGAACGTTGCTACGATGGCGTTGTAAACATGTCAACAAAGTTGTTAGAGAACCAAAGCAGCTGAGAAAATTTAGGAAAAAAACACGATTGATTCTCATCTTGTTCATTGGCAAATGCTGATGTTGAGCTCACGGTAAGCCCACGTCAAGCAAAACGTTTCTACGCGTAATTTGCAAACGAGTCCCTGCATCAAGCCAGAAGCGAGCGACGGACACGACCAAGCTACGACTTGTATCATACACGACGATTCACCTACAACCACCTAAGCACATGATCTTCAGGCTTTTCAGCGCTCTAAACGCAAACAACAAAAAAGAGCTGGCAAGTCCGGCTCATCCGTCGAATATCGTGCCGTCGACTCGAGATGAGCTTCTCGCTAGTTCACACGGAATAAGATCGACTGTACAGTACTGTTGCACTCGTGTCAAGCTCAACGGATTACGGAATAAGATCGACTGTACAGTACTGTTGCACTCGTGTCAAGCTCAACGAATTTTGTTGCTCTCTCGTGCTGATAACTGAAAGTGAAAAAAAATAATCTTTAAGCTGCAAAATCGTCAAGTTTTACTTTACTATTCATCCGTACTTTATCTGTAAGGGTCAAAACTTTCTGAACCAAAAAAATGTCCGTGGAATCGGCGGACTCGGTTCTTCTATCAGGACGGCAAGAGCTTCGACCGTTCTACAAGGCGCCGCATGCGCCGTCGAGTCGGAGGTCTCTGCTCTTGCCAATGCAATCCCCACGCAGTCGGTTGCGGTAACGAGGGAAATTTCGAGCCGTCGGGCTCGATCACGTGCGTGTTTAGTCATCACAGTGGACGTCACTTGGGTCACTCACTTTGTTTTTCACTCTCAGCCTTTAGGCGGCGGTGACACCGGTCGGCTTGGGAGTAGGGGTAGTGGCTGCTGAGACACTCGATGTCTTCATGTGGCCACGTTTGTCGTTCTTATTGTCCACAAAGAATTGGGCCGCGTAGTCCGAAGATACGGACGGACCACCGTTTGAACCCATCCCTTCACCAGAAGTTTGAGTGGGGAATCCCTGGCTTTGGAAGTTGTGGGCCGCCAGACCGCGTGGCGACAAGAAGTCCATCTTCATTCTCTGTTGCGTATTGCCGTGCACAGCCGCGGCGGCCGCCATTGCCGCCATATGATTACGCGGCGCGTGGTTGGCGCTGTTCTGGTTGTTTTGGTTGTGCTCGAAGACGTTGCCAAGGTTCTCGAGTAGAGGCGTGGTGCCGCCGCCGAAGTGGCCGTTATGGTGGAAGTTCATGGGCGTGTCGGGGCCCATGAGCTTAATGTAGTCGCTCATCATGGCGTCGTCGCCTCCACCAGGCGTCCGGTCGGTCAGGCGGGGCGTGGGGAACAGACCGAGCGACAGATAGTTGCCATTGCCACGCGAGACACTGGGTGGGCCACTGGCAAGGAAACTGTCAAAACCGGGGGTACGTTGGCCACTGGATGTGGCGTTTGCACCTGAGTTGGTCATTGCGAGAACCTCTAGGGTGTAACCGACCAAGTAGTAAATTCGGTTAACCTGTCGGATCTGCACAAGTAAAGGAAAAGCTCACTAGGTTGTAGGATCTGGCCAATGTATTATCCAGTTATCACTACCAACACTAGTTTCGCAATTCCCAACCTTCTCCTAGCTCGTATGGCCAATGTAGTTCCGGTTCTTGAGGGCGATAAGGCACTTGCGTGATACTGTGCAAATTGAGGACTGTATTGATATTTAAGCCTATACCTGCCTGGATTTCTACCTTCTATGTCTTTTATCTGCTAAATCCCTTACCAGGGTGGGGCTGCATGTCCCTTCTTCCCTTGACCCATCACCCCAGCTGTATTATTCTTCAGATCCCCCCGCGAAACCATGGGGTAAATAACATTATGGGTTCCCCCTCATTAGGGGGGAAACCTCCATCCGGAATCCGGTCGCTTGGATCCACCTCACTGTAATGGTACACTCGCCGTGGATCCGAGCTCTCCAATCATCCAACATCATCTCGCAACCGTCTGTGATCTCCGTTGTCCCACGAAAGTTCGAGATCCACTGTATCCATCATCCCTATACCCTGGATCCAGGTCCCTCCAGGCGGGATCCTCCCTCCTTGGATCCGAACTCGGAAGTATGGGATCCGGGGTACCTCGCGGTGGATCTTGACTCTTCATTAGCCGTGGCTACTAGATCCACCTTCAGAGGGCACCGACCATCCTTCCTTCATAGGATCCACACTCGATCCACTCTTGTATAGTATATCCCATATCCATCTTAGTGAATCCAGGTAAGGGTGGATCCGAGGTAAGTCTTGGTGGATCTTGCCTTCTCGTACATCGCTCATATCAGATCCATCGTCATTCCATACGAGGTGCTGCTCGCCATGGCTAATCCACCACAGGCAACTTGCACCCGTGCCAAACAACCCAAATCCTCTATAATCACTTGAAATTGTCACTGATTCGGGATAGTGACCCCGCGTCAGGACCATTCTCTTATTTCTGAGAAAGCACTTCACCACAGACATTAGATCGCCAAGTGTCCGGTGAGGATTTCGTGAAAATGCGGAGCGACAGAGGCCGCAACGAGCAAACGTCGCGCGCGATGAAGAAGAATCGGGCGAGTTTCTCTTCTTGGCTGGTGGTGGGAGCAAGACCACTAAGTCAAGTGACAAGTGGCTGGTCGACTCGGGTGCGACGCAGCACATGACGTACTCGAAGGAGTACATGAAGAACTACAAGAAGATGTCTCCGGTGGACGTACATCTCGCGGACGATGGTGTGGTTCAGGCAGTCGGGACCGGCGACATCGTGATTTCCATGAAGACTCCACGGGGGACCAAGAAGGGTGTGTTGTCAAGAAGGCGTCTCGTCCAGCTTCGGCATACCAGTAAAACCGGTTTCCAAGGACCCCGCGATGTTTACGGTAAGTCAATTGCGCAAACGGATGTATGCGCAAACAGATGATTGAACGAACAGGATGATTGGACGAGTCCATGATTGGATGCACCAAATGATTGGATGCAGACTAGGACGTAAGACAGAGTAAGCTCCAATAAATCAATCACTTAGCGTTTTATCATCTAGTGCACAAACGACCTTCCTTTTGGTTATGAGCCCAAGCCCCGCAGACTCTGCCCAAGACTACGCCTACGCCATGGACGCCACTTCAACGACCGCCCGCATCAACAAGTTCGACGGAACCAACTTTCACACGTGGAAGTTCAAGATGCAGATGGTGCTGGAAGAGCGCGACCTGTGGGAAGTCGTCAGTGGCGAACTGAAGATGGAGCACTGCGCTACCGCGTTGGACCAAGCGACGTTCAAGCGGAAGTCGCGCAAGGCGCTGGCGATTATCTGTCTCGCGATGGAGGATTCGCAGCTGCCGTTGGTTCTGTCGGCGAATGGTGCGCATGATGCCTGGTCAAGGCTGGAAGGACACTTCGAGAAGAAGAGTTTGGCGAACAAGCTCTTCCTTCGTCGACGTTTCATCACCACGATGATGGAAAAAGGTGATGATGTGCTGGAGCACATCAACAAGATCAAGACGCTGGCGGAGCAGCTCGACGCAGTGGGCGCTCCGGTCAGCGAGGACGACTTGGTGATCACGCTTCTGGCAAGTCTAAGCGAGTCGTACCAGTTCCTCATCACGGCGTTGGAGTCGAGAGCTGACTCACTGTCGTGGGAACTAGTGACGGCTCGGCTGCTACATGAGGACATGAAGCGCAAAGAGCAAGGTGGCGGTGCGGACGGCGCCGCGCACGGTCAAGCGTTCATGACGAGTGACAACGGTAAGCGTAAGGGACGACAGGCGCCAAAGACAAGCGCGTGTCACTACTGCGGCGAACAAGGCCATTGGATCGCCAAGTGTCCGGTGAGGATTCGTGAGAATGCGGAGCGACAGAGGCCGCAACGAGCAAACGTCGCGCGCGATGAAGAAGAATCGGGCGAGTTTCTCTTCTTGGCTGGTGGTGGGAGCAAGACCACTAAGTCAAGTGACAAGTGGCTGGTCGACTCGGGTGCGACGCAGCACATGACGTACTCGAAGGAGTACATGAAGAACTACAAGAAGATGTCTCCGGTGGACGTACATCTCGCGGACGATGGTGTGGTTCAGGCAGTCGGGACCGGCGACATCGTGATGTCCATGAAGACTCCACGGGGGACCAAGAAGGGTGTGTTGTCAAGAAGGCGTCTCGTCCAGCTTCGGCATACCAGTAAAACCGGTTTCGAAGGACCCCGCGATGTTTACGGTAAGTCGATTGCGCAAACGGATGTATGCGCTACAGATGATTGAACGAACAGGATGATTGCACGAGTCCATGATTGGATGCACCAAATGATTGGATGCAGACTAGGACGTAAG